GCCTGCCTGCCTGCCTGCCTGTCTGTCTGTCTGTCTGTCTGTCTGTCTGCCTGTCTGCCTGTCTGTCTGTCTGCCTGTCTGCCTGTCTGCCTGTCTGCCTGTCTGCCTGTCTGCCTGTCTGCCTGTCTGCCTGTCTGCCTGTCTGCCTGTCTGCCTGTCTGTCTGTCTGTAACACGATAACTCAAGAACCGCTAAACCGATTTTAACCAAATTTGGCACAAAAATACTGTGGCTCTCGAGAATCTGACCATTAGTTTTTGGTGGGGGTGGGGGGTTGGTAAGGGGGTATGGGAGGGGGTTAAAAATTTAAAAAAATCGTAACTCCAAAATTGCAGTAGCTAGCGAAACGCGGTTTTCAATTTAAGATTAGGAATAATATTTGCAACAAAATTTGTAATAACATCAAAATCTCATATAAATTTCTCTGCGGAAATGCATCATTCTCTTTTTTCCGACTTTAGAATAACTGAAATCAGTTACATGAGAACGTGTTGCTGCTTTACATTCTAAATACTTTTTTGTGTAGGTATGAACTTAACCGAGTAGATACTGTAATTTAGACATCAATACTGTAACGAAAAATAACGAGAATTAACAAAAATGAACTAACAAATCATGCCAAACAAAAACAAACCTAACCAAAGCAATCAAAACACGCTGTAAGCTAAAACTCCATTTGCCGAGTGCTTTTCAAATCTTGCTATATTTTACAATATTTTTTCAACAAATGAAAATGGTACACTTCCGCAAGAGGTTTTTAAGCGAGTCTATGTTTAGAAAAATTTCTAGAATGAAAATCAAAGACGTGTTTTCATGTAACTGGTTTCAGCTATTCTAAAGTTAAAAAACTGAAAATTGTGCATTTCCTCAGAAAATTTTTCGTGATTGTCTATTTGGAAAGGCTTCGAAATACTAAATAAACAAATATTTCTTAAATAACTAATTTCAAGTACCTAAACGAAACTTGGGCCGAAAAAAGATGCATCTACTTCATAAAATTATCTTTAAATTCCTTGCTTTGTTAACAAATTCCACAGGGTGTTCCAAACTTTCAACGAAATATCAACATTTTGATGGGAACTTCCATTTTTAATTTAGAAAAAGATACTAAAAAGTCAAATAATTTAGCTACAATTTGCTGAAAAGATCATCAAAATCGGTCCACTAGAACACAATATACCGGGTGACTCTTAAATAAGTGCAAATATTTTGAGGGATGGTATTTTTCGACCCCAGGAACACGTCTATGAGGTTTCTTTCGCAAAAAAAAGATGTTGAAAATCGTGCATTTTCTTTTAAATTTTCCTTTATATTTTTCGAAGACTTTTTAGAACTGCATGTTCATCGCATATTACTATAGTTACAGCTTTACTCTATGGTTACGGCACTAAAAGGGATGCAAATACAGGGTGTCCCACTAAGAATTGCTCTCGGCTGTATCTCGGAAAGTATTAGTCGTAGGGCTTACGGAAAAAAATATTTATAACTAAAGGGGCTATGAGAAATTGCTGGAAATTATTTTCAACTTTGTAACACGGCCGCTAGAGGACGCAATTGCTATGGAAAATAAGAAAATAGAATGTTTACAGAATTTTGCCTAGATAATGGGTACTATAAATAATAGCTTCATAATCTTCACTAAATTTTGGATTTTTTTCATTAGAACCATGTCCCCCTATCTGCTAAAAAAGTGGTGGGGGAAGGTTAGATCTATCTTTATTTAAATGTTAATAACTCCGGACTGGATGATCAGAATCCAACAAACGAGGGCTCGTTTAAAAGAGCGTTTCTTGCTCTATATTATACCATAAAAATAATAATAATAAAGTTTTGAACGTAGACGCTAGGGGGCGCTTTCTTACAATTTAACAAATATAGCGCGTTTTTTTTTTAAATAAATACGATAGTATGTGCTATTTTAGCTGATAGTAAAGAGTAGAAAAAGCTTAAAAAGTCAGCGAAAACCGCATCTTAATATCTATCTTCTTTCAAACCGAAGATATTAGAAAAATTATAACAAATACCAAAAAATGAGCCCTTAATTACCATATTTTTACAATACAGTATCAGTAGCCCTCTTGATTAGGCCCATTCTAACAAAAAAATAAGATAGAAACAGTTAGTTTATTTTAAGATCGACGATATACCAGAATACCATAATACCAGATGTAAAAATATCTAATAATTAAGATATTAATAATAGTGAACAAGAAACGATGATTCAGTGAAGTCATGGTAGGCTTTGGAAAAAAGTTGCTTTTCGCGTAATAGTATAAACGTCAAATTGTTATTAGATCAACATTTTGATAGTCTTAGCAGCTTTTTTATCTTTTAAATGCTTTTTCAAAATGCCAACAACTTCAACTACCTACTTCAAATAATAAAGGCATTATTTTTAGGTTAGAATGGGCATAATCAAGAGGGCTACTGATATCGTGCTGTAAAAATAAGGTAATTAAGGGCTTATTTTTTGGTATTTATTATAATTTTGCAAATATCTCCGGTTTGAAAAAAGATATCAAGATGCGGGTTTCGCTGACATTTTAAGCTTTTACTACTCTTTACTGTCAGGTAAAATTACATATACTATCGTATTTAATTTTTTTGAACAAACGCGCTATGTTGGTTAAATTGTAAGAAAGCGCCCCTAGCGTCTACGTTCAAAACCTTATTATTATTATTTTTTGGTACAATATAGAGTAGGAAACGCTGTTTTAAACGAGCCCTCGTTTGTTGGATTCTGATCATTCTCAGTCCGGAGTTATTAACTTTTAAATAAAGACAGATCTAGCCTTCCCCCACCACTTTAGTTTAGCAGATAGGGGAAAATGGTTCTAACAAAGAAAATCCAAAATTTACTGAAGATTATGAAGCTATTATTTGTAGTACCCATTATCTAGGCAAAATTCTGTAAAAATTCTATTTTCTTATTTTCCATAGCAGTTAAATTGACGGCTCTAGTGGCCGTTTTACAAACTTGAAAATAATTTCCAGCAATTTCTCATAGCCCCTTTAGTTAAAAATATTTTTTGTCGTAAGCCCTACGGCTAATACTTTCCCAGATACAGCCGAGAGCTATTCTTAGTGACACCCGGTACAGCCGGTGGCTCTCAAAATTTTTCAAAAAAAAATCATTTTTTTGCAAACTTAAATAACTCGGTTATTTTGGACTTATTTGAAAAATGGTAAAGAGAAAATATGTTTCTTTTATCGAGATATACCAGTCCTAAAAATATTTGCAACTTTAAAATACATACATCAAAATTTTAAAGTGCCTGTTTTCATGCCTGTGAATGTATTTTCTTTCTTATGAAACTAGATAAAAAAAACATTTATAATTCACATATGCAATAGATACGCAAGAAGAATTGAAATTATCATCAGTTATAGACAGGTCTCAGAATAAGCCTTCGACAGTACCATCTTATGTCCAAGCAGCAGTACTCTCTCTCTCTCTCTCTATCGCTCTCTAAGCTTGGTCTTTTTACCAGCTCATTGTGAATAAATTTACACTTCATTTAAATTGAAAATAGGTCTAACGGTACTATTATTATTAATACCAGATAGATGCTGTATGTTTTTAGTCATGTACGTGATGGCTTCTTTACTTTTTTACTGGCGTTCTAAGAGTATATTCGTGTTGAAAGGTTTTTCTGTCTACTTGTTCTTCACTGAAATTAAGAAGATTATTTTATTTAGTAATTTTATTAGTAACGGTGTAATGTTTTCATTAGTGATGCTTTAATATTAGAATCCTTTCGTTCCTTTTTTTCTATTAACTCCGGATTACAGTGATCTTCCTGGAATATAACAATAATTGGTTATTTAATACTTTGAATATTAATTGTAATCTTAAAAAAAGTGTTAAATAAAAATGTTTGGCGACCTCCACTTTTGATTCCTTGTAATTTGGTTGTGGATAAAGCAAGAATCTTAACTTTTAGTTGACTAAGATAGAAATTGACTAATGTGTCAATTTCTTAAGCTTCATTCAGAACCTCCCAATTAGTGGTTTCAATTAGAATTTATACTTTTTAGTTTACGATTATTGACAATGCCTAAAACACAGAATTAAAATTAATAAAATATCCTAGCAACAGCGGTAGTCTGTTGTATCCATAGAGAAAGCATAATATTTAGCTTATAAAACAATAAACTTTTGATTTCTAACCAAAATTTTTCTTGAAGGATGATAATCAAAGGCCAAAATGACATTTCTCGCAAATTTTGAAGTATAATTAGTGGAAAAGTTAAAAGTTTGATAACTTTTTCTACTAATTGAAAATGTCTACCACTAATTTTGATGTTCTGAATGCTTACATTCAAATTACAGGAACAAACTTCTACGCTAATTGAAACCACTAATTTATTCCACTAATTTCCAGGTTCTGAATGAAGCTTTATAGTTTATAAATTATATCTAGTTAAAGTTCAGTAATTTCGATAGTGAGACACTCACTGACCATCAGAATTCCAGCAAGGTACTTCTAGAAGTCTCAAAAATTTAAAATTTCGAATTTTAGTTAATGTTTAACCTATAAAGGGAAGGAAAAATTAAAAAAAAACGATATTATATTATTCATTAAATGAAAAATGATTACCTAATAAAAGTTAAAAAAGCATCTTGACACTACCACTAACTGTAACTGACTGACTACGAATGCATTTTGATTTCTTTGGTTTCAACTTTTTTTAGCGATACTATGTTGTTTTTCTTTAATTTTGACTACTTTGATCGTAGTATACAACTTATACACATATTCGTCAGTGAAACGTGATAACCTGCTAACTCCATTTTTTACGTCAATAAGTTTTCTTATACCATTAGAAAGAGAAAAAAATACTCTATAAGTACACTTCCTCCATGTGCACATACTTTTTTGTACCGTTTTTTTGCTCTCCTGTAAAGTTAGGAATAATGTAGTTAGCAGTTATCATATTTCACCGACGATATTGGAAATGTAAATTTATAAAAATACTTATATCTAATTTTGTTTCAGATAAATGGAATGGCTTTTATTAACAGACTGGTCCTCCAAATTTTGCTGTTTCTTCCGTCGGTGATACATTGTATAGGTAAGATTGCAGAATAATAATTTCGGAACTCAGCAATTACTTCCAGCAAAAAAATATATATTATGTAACATTCAGCGCAGTAAGAGTTTTTTGATCTTGCAGAGGAATTATTGTTGTTACATGATGCGCTTTTGAGACAAATGTCGCCACCACCTTTGTTGGTTGACTTCGTTGTTTTTTTTTTTGGAAATTTTTTGGTTCATATTGGAATACCCAAACAGCCGATTGACGTTTATTTTCGGGTTCATAAGAGTAAATCCAGGGTTCATCACCACCGACAATTCTGTAGGTGTATATTTTTTGAAATTTTCTCTGCTAATTCCATTTTTCAACGACACGGTGTAAAACTTTGGGGATAAGTTAACTAAAGATGATAGTCTAAATAACCTGTACACTATGCAAAACAACCTTTATGGCTAGTCCTTTTTGAAAAATAAAATAAAGACCTACCGTTTTACAAAGTACGTCGCCGATATATAATTAAAACCTTTTTGTTCTTACTCTTTTGACCCTTTTTGTTGCTTTTTCTTCTTCTTGCGGCTTACCTATACGCAATACGCGCCACGGCCACAGATCGGAGATCCTCGCAAGAGAAAGATAACATTAAGTCATAAATAACGCGGCCACCACTTGCAAAATGAAGATACGGCCGTGTAATTACTCGGCAGGATTATTAACATTAATGGTGGAGAATTGGCCCATATTTTAAGCGGTTTCATGGGGGTACGGGAAGATACAGTAGGGCAGCAGTAGAAAATGTTAAGAGAAAAAAAGTTTTGGCTTCTGTTAATGTTAGCCCTCGCTGGAAACAGCATTACAGCCATATCCTTAACCAAGAAAACAAACCCCAATATAGAAGCACTAATCACAATACCTCAGGAAATAAAGGCCTCCATAAAACAGCTTAAAAACAACAAATCAGCTGGCTGTGACGCGATTCCGGCGGAAATCTATAAGTATGCAAGTAAAGATAACAACAATGCTATAAAAATTAGTATTTAGGAAAACGTGAGTTCATAATAAAATGAAATAAAAAAAAATTGATCATCGAGTAAAAATTTGCTTGTAAACAGAATATTTTTACATTTCGAGTAAGTAACAATTTTTCTGTATCTGAAAATCTTCTGATGGGAAGAAATGCGGAAAAAATATATAATGACATATTTTTATATTATTATCTATTTCAAAGATTTTCGCGAGAGAAATAGAATTACTACTTTCTCACGTAATAAAACAATTTTTTTTAGTTATTGTTACCGAGTCCCGAAGGTACCGAAAGAACCGGGAATTAATAATTTCGAGTCCTGGTTCTTTGATATCTCAAAAGAACCGGGAATTTCCGGTTCTGAACCCTAGTTACCATATTGTCAAGAAATTATGTTTTTTAACCAAAAACTATAAAAATTTCCGTTTTTTTTTTAAAATTGCGCAGAAAAGTCCTCATATTTTTGGGGCCAAAATATACTACCCCTGAAAATATTTGCACTTATTTAAGACTCACTCAGTATAGGGCGATTCACGGTTATGGTACGTTATATAGCGTTTCCGGAACCGGAGCTGTTTTTTGGAACCGGTAATTTCGGTACTATGCCTCTAAGGAACCGGGAATTCCAGTTTTTTGGGTACTTTCGGTACTACCAAAATTTTGTGCAGTTCTTTAAACAGCAAGCAAGGGATGATTATCGAAAGTAAAATCGGTAAAAAATTTAGGTTTAAATGAAAATAATATCAAATTATTAAGTAGTTAATCAGCCATGAGAAAATTAACGTGAACACAAACATGATCACAAATTACTCTCAAAAAAACTCAAAGAACAATTTTTTTAATTATTACTACAATCAATAGCAGCACACAGTAAGGCACTCATTTTTTGTCATTCCGTCTCTGTGCTGGGACGCAACGCTCGAACCTCGCAGGTCGACGGACGGAACTCAACTATAACGCTCTGCAATCTGCCAATATTCGACAGATTGTAAAAACTGGCATAAAATATTTGGGAGAGTGCAACTACTCTTTTCCTTCTACTATGATATTACCTCTTCAACTTTGCTGAACGACTCTGGGTTGTTATACTACAAAGTTTGCCTTCTTTCTTTTATAATACGGCCCACTGTGTCGTTGATTCTCGACAATCTAACCAACCTATAAAAATCCCACCGATCTCGCAAAGCTGGTTTAAAACTTTATTAACATGCGGCCTACATCTTTAACCTTCCTCTCTCCATTTTCCCTCTTGCCCATCTTCCTTTTGGTCGTCTCGCTGCCGACGACGCGCACAATTGAGGCGGATCGCAATAAATACGGCCAATCTCCATCGCTAATAAATCGCTAATTATCGCAAACCTGCAGCGAAACCGTAATTATTCGCATGGAAAAAAGGTGTTGTAGGATGCTTTTTATCTGATTTTATTAGGTCGGGTAATTTTATGCATAAGCACTTAGGGATCCTTTAATAGCTGAATGCGTTTGGTCTGATTTTTTTTGAAAACGGTTGATTGGGAGTAGCGATTTTATTTCGAACATAAATATGGATTATGAAAAAATACGATGACGGTATTATCGGGCAAGAAAATCTAGTACAAGTTAAGCTGAATATCATCATCTTTGTCATTATTTTAATAATAATAATAAGCCAAATTTATTACTTTTCAGTGCACAAGGTAATCATAAAAAGAATTCATAACACTATTATTATAACAACAATAATTAAAGTTGACTGTCCTAGTACAAAATCTAAAAAGTAAAAGGCCATGTTATTGCAGTTTTCTGGCAAAACCAGATACTGTTTAGGCCTATAAAATTAATGATTAAATAAAAAATCGGTAAAAAAACTTTTAAGTTAAACGGTTTTATCTTATGTGCATTGAAAACTAGAAAATAATAATAATAATTAGGTATTTTGAACTTCTAGTTCAGAAATATTTTAGTACTAGGCAGAATAGCTTTTAGGCATATTAGACTAAAATAAAAACGTGGGGCCCATTAACTATTGCTGTAATACTTTCTTCTATACTAAGTGTGGATTGCATCGACTTACTATAATCGTAACTGGAGATTTTGACAATCAATAACCAGCCGTGGCGGCTTCATCAGCGAACGCCGAGCTCATATACCAAAGTATAAAGATATGCTTTGCCATAGGTAGGATTTCAGAGGGGCCCCACGTTTTTATTTTAGTCTAATATGCCTAAAAGTATTCTGCCTAGTACTAAAATATTTTCTGAACTAGAAGTTCAAAACAACTAATTGTTATTATTATTTTCTAGTTTTCAGTGCACATAAGATAAAACCGTTTAACTTAAAAGTTTTTTACCGATTTTTTATTTTCTAGTTTTTAGTATTTAACGGAAATGCCTACCGAATATTCCTCATTCTATTTAATTCATTTAGTGCATCATTGTTACATGGTTTTTTACCTGATAATTTATTACAATCTAATTCCTCAACACATAGCCCTTCCAGAGACTTGACTCGACTTAGAGCCACGTATGCTTGCCCTTCCTCAAACAATTTTGAGCCCAAATACACTACTGCATGGTCGACTGTGCTGCCCTGCATTTTATAGACGGTGGATGCCCATGACAAAATTAAGGGTAACATCCTTCTTTCAGCCGTACCATAATTGAATTTTGCTGGAAACTGTATGGCTTTCGGGTGTATAACGTGCATGCCGTCTCTGCCAAAGTCAATCCAAACTGATGGTAATATGTTTCGTACATTTGGGTTCGACGGAACTGAGGCCAAACAATTTCTGTAATGTGGCCTATAGCACCATTTACCAATCCTTTTGTAACGTCAATGTTGGACCGCAACATTACTTTTGCTCTACAAATATTTCAAGTACTGATGGTAAGCCTCCAGTCTCATTTATATCTTTTCGTCAGTCTCATTTATATCGTCAGTCTCATTTATATCATTTTCAGTCTCATTTATATCTCGTCTGTTGGTATTATATTTGCTAAATTTAAATTATCTGTATTTCGTGTGGCGTCAATTAGTTGGTCCTGTGCTTTAATGGTATAAATTCGAGATCCCTTATTCCGGAACAGATTTAAAACAGCAGCGTTGTGATTGTTTACTTGCTGATTAGTGGGGTACCCTTAACGCTTTGTCTGTTGCAAACTCATCACTTGGGTTTTGAATAACTCTTTGCATCAAAATACTAAAATGGTTAGCGGTTAGCTCACCTATTCTCAAAGCATTTAATATTTCAATAAAAGTATAAGGTCCCCTTGCTGACGCATATTCTCCGTCAGCTCACAGAGCGTGAACAAACGCCATAGATGTGTGGCTGGTTGGAGATGATCGGGCTGTGTGAAAACAGGAGCTCCGGAGCTGTGTGAAAACCGGAGCTCTCCAAAAAGTAAAACGTTTATGCCTCCAAAGAACTCGTCTTCATGATTTTTAAGTTGTCTTAATCGTGCGTCAATCATACACAGCATTTGATAAGATACCATTGAAATTTCGTCCATGTTGTTCCCACGAGTAATGGACATTTTAACGGTCGACCCCCCAGAGGTCCAGTAGAGGGGCAAGGCTATAATATACAACAAGAGGCGCCCAATCTTAAGGGGAAAACGCTTGCGACATTACATTTTTAGCCACCCTAATGCCATACAGTCCTCAGCACGTTTTAACCTATTACCTTAACTTGGGTGGTAAAGCTACCGCTAACTACGTAGGTACATCTAATCACCTATTTTTTATATCTGTCCTTCTAACGTCACACAATCTTGGACACAACTGTTCTGGACACGACTACTCATGCCCTCACCTAATACGCCATTTTGTAACGACGTCCATCTTGGATTTTAAATTTTGTCATAATCACAGTATTCTACTAGTGTAGCCCTTTCATTTGATACCCATATTGAGGGGGTTGTGGAAAAATATGAAATCCGCCATTTTGTACCGGCGGCCATCTTAGATTTACAATGTTATTGATATTACTATATTCTATTGTCATCGGAACTAAAGGTGTGTACCAAATTTCAGATCAATCTGACAACAGGAAGGTACTTAAATTTCAATTTCTAATTTTGACTCAAATAAACAAACAAATAAATAAATACCGTACGGGTCGAGCTAAATAAAACCGTTTAAAAACGCTGCTGAGACTATCAAAATATTGATATAATAATATTTTGATGTTTAAACTATCCCTTTAAAAGCAACTTTCTTCCAAAGCCTACCATGAATTCACTGAGGCGTCGTTTCTTGTTCCGGTACATTGTGGATTTTTTTTTAATAAAATAATCTTTTTATCTTATTTTTTATTAGAATGGTCATAATCAAGAGGGCTAGCGATACCGTGTTAGAAAAATAAGTTAATTAAGGGCTTATTTTTTCTTATTTATTATAATTGCTAATAACTTTGTTTTGAAAAAAGATATCAAGATACGGTTTTCGCTGACTTTTTAAGCTTTTATTAGTCTTTAGTATCAGCTAAAATTACATATACTATCGCATTTAATTTTTTTGAAAAAACGCATAATGTTTGTTAAATTGTAAGACAGCGCCCTCTGGCGTCTACGTTCATGAGCTTATTTTTATTGTTTATATGGTATAATATAGGGTAAGAAATTCTCTTTTAAACGAGCTCCCACTTGTTGGATTCCGATCATCCAGTCCGGAGTTATTAACATTTAAATTAAAAGAGATCTAGCCTTCCCCCACCACTTTATTTTAGCAAATAGGGGAAAATGGTTCTAACAAAAAAGATCCGAAATTTACTGAAGATTATGAAGCTATTATTTATAGTACATCGTATCTAGGCAAAATTTCTTAAAAAATACCATTTTGTCATTTTCCATACCAGTTACGCCTTCTAGCGGCCGTTCTACAAACTTGAAAATAATTTCCAGCAATTTTTCATAGTCTCTTTAATGATAACTATTTTTTTCCACAAGCCCTACGACTAATACTTTCCGAGATACAGCCGAGAGCTATTCTTAGTGGAACACCCTGTACAGTTTTCAATTATCCTTCAATACTATAAACCGTAGATTTTTATATACGGTTTAATCATTATGATCTTGTACTCTTCAGTGATATGGATATATATTACTTCTCCACTCAATGTGCCTGGTCATAAGATATAATGACTTGATAATCTACTAGTATTAATAACAATAAAAGTCAACCAATAAGGAGGCAATAACTTGATGATGACGCTATAAAACGGATTGAAATATTTTTAAAAAATAGCTATATTGCATGCTAACTAGGGATGGAAGAAGGAACGTTAAAGATATAGCGTGTGATGGGAGGAAATGCCAGTTTTTAGTAAATGCTGTAGAGATTGACTTTCTTTATAACTCAGGATTTGTATCGATTTGATCCTGAAGTAAAATGACTTTAATTCTTTAAGAGATGAAATTTAGAAATGAATGAAAATTTTGAAAATAATGTGTATTAGAAGAAAAGTCAGTGGCGTACCATAATTGAAATGTTTGGAATTGAAATATTTGAAATTGAAATGTTAACATTAGAAAAAAATTGCAACATTTTAATTTTCTTATATTCGTTACAGGTCTATGCGAAGTCGAGAATGGATCATCGAACATCATCCTGGACATCGAAGAAAGCCGGGGATCTTGTAAGTATTTTAACGGTATCAGGTTTCTAATAATTTCAGAAATCTATTATAAATTAAAAACAAACACGGTGTAAACGCAATTTCACACGGAATGAACAACAGTAACG